ATGAACATTATTACACAGAGTTTTTCTACAATATTGATTAGCTTTAAGGCACCTACTCTAACAATCTCCACTTGCACTATAGCCAATCATTCATTTATTTAATATCAAATGATCTCAAGTGCCTTTCATGCTTCTGCTACGACAGAGGCTTTGTCAGTGGATTTGCGAGATGTCGTTAGTATGTAATTTACTGATCTGCACATCTTTCCTCTCAACTATTTCTCTGATGAGATGGAATCGTCTGAGTATGTGTCTCGGATTTATGATGAATCGTGGTTCCCTGGCTTGAACAATTGCTCTATTGTTGTCATAATAGATGTTTATTGGATCAACAATTGTGGAAACCACACCAGTTCGATGACAAACTTCTTAATCCGACTGTCTCCTTGGCCTCATCTGATAATACATATACCACCTCCATTGTAGAGTCCGCTACGGTGCTTTGCTTGGAGCTCTTCCAACTCCAGCACCCCTGTTGAGACAAAAACAAACCCTGATTGCGATCGATAATCACTTTGTCCGTTTGAACAGCATCGTTGTATCCTCTTACAGTGGGCTCATCTCCCTCCATAAACCAAGAACATATCCTTAGTCCTCTCAGGTACTTAAGAATGTTCTTGACACCATCTAGTGACACTCACCTAGATCCGATTGATATATACTGTAAGTGCTCAAAGCACATGAGACATCAATCCGATTACTAGCATGACATACATGATGATCCATTACTGATGCATATGAGATCCTCTTCATCCTATCTCTCTCATCTTGTGTTCTAGGACACAATTCCTTTGAGAGATGAACATTATGTGACATCGAAGAATTCCTTCTTAGATTCTTCCATACTGAATCTTTTCAATACTTTGTCAATATATGCACTCTGACTTAGGCCAAGCAACATACGCAATCTACCGTCATAGATCTTTATTTTGAAGGATGTAGGTTGCTTCTCCTAAGTCCTTAATGGAGAAGCACTTGGATAACCAAGTCTTTATCGACTGCAAGTTTGTATATCATTCCCGATCACATACAATACAAGGAATGTCCTGCGCTCCCACTCACTTTCTTGTAAACATAGGGCTCATCTTCGTTCTGATAAATCGAATTCTTTTACGGCTTCATCAAAACAAATGTTCCAGCTCCTTGAAGCTTGCTTGAGTCCATATATGGATCTCTGCAACTTCCATACCCTATCAGCTTGCCCATCAAGAACGAAACTATTAGATTGTGTCATATACACATCCTCTTCAAAGTTTTCATTGGGAAGCAATTTGACATCCATTTGCCAAATCTCATAGTTATGATATGCAACAATCGCAAGCATAATCCGATGGATTTAATCATAGCAACTGCGAAAAGGTTTCTTCATAGTCAATACCATGAATTTGTTTGAAACCTTTGGCAACCAGTCGTGCCTTATAGTATGCACATTGCCATCCATGTCAGTCTTCTTCTTAAAGACCCATTTACACCCTATGGTTTTACCTCTTCAGTGGTTTCACTAAAGGCCATACTTGGTTCTGGTACATGGAGTCCACTCAGATTTCATTGCTTCAACCATTTAACGGATCTGGATCCGATATAGCGTCTTCGTAGGTGCTGGGTTCATCGTCTTGGTAGACTAGTACTCGCCATGTTTGTCACAAGATAACCGTATCTCTCGGGCTTATAGTGTACTCTCCCAGATCTACGTAGCTCTTGTGCTACCTGGGGTGGTTCACTTTGATCCACAGTTGTAGAGCAACCTCCTCATAATGTTCAACCACCTTCTTACATATCATCCCATCCTTCGTCTAGTATACTTTGTGGTTCTATAACTTCATCGAGTTCTACTTTCTTCCACAGTACTCTTAGAAAAAATTCATTTTCTAGGAAGACACCAAAACAGCAACAAAAATTTTACGCTCTTCTGGTGTAGAAAAGTATCTTTTGGTCTCCTTTGGATACCCCATAATTATAATTTACAGGATTTTGGGTCCAGCTTATTCGAAGTCATTTCTTAATATAAGCTTCGCAACCCCAAATCCTTAGATAAGACAAGCTAGGCTTTTGCCCACTCCATAGCTCATATGGAGTCTTATTCAAACTTTGATGGCACACGGTTCAAAATGTGAGTCACAGTTTCTAGGGCATAACCCTAGAACGGTGCAGGTAAATCACTAAAACTCATCATGGCCCTAACCTATCAAGTAAGGTCATATCCTCCTTTCAGACACTCCATTGTGTTGAGGTGTATACGAAAGGGTAATTTGTGACACTATCCCACATTCCTTCAGGTATTCAGAAAACTATGAGTTTAAGTATTTACCTCCTCGATCCGACTGAAGAGCTTTAATACTTTTGCCCAACATATTATGTACTTCATTCTTGAATTCCTTGAATTTATCAAAGGCTTCAGATTTATGTCTAAGATAGACATAACCAATCTACTGAAATCATCAGTAAAAGTGATGAAGTATGAATATCCACCTCTGGCCTCAATTGTTTGGATCACATACATCACTATGGATGATGCCTAACAGCTCAATAGCCCTTTCACCTTGTCCTGTGAAAGGAGACTTTGTTATCTTGCCTAACAGGCATTCTCACATACCAAATGACTGAAAGTCAAAAGGGTCTAAAACTCCCTCCTTTGAAGTTTTGCAATGCGAGTCTTATTACATGACATAATCTACAGTGCCGAGATATTTCTGGTTTTGATCGCTATGTTTAGCTTTCTTGTTTCAATAGTTAGAATGTCCTTATTGTTTAAATCAAGAACATATAATCCATTATATAACCTTGCAATTTCAATAGAATACGATTCAAACTAAAGGACAACAATCCATTAGTTATCTCAAAATGATACCCCATATTATCCAAAGTGGATACTAAAATAATATTTCTAGAAAAGAAGGTACGTAATAACAGCTATGTAGTTCTAACAACAAGCCCGTAGGCAAAGATAAATAGTAAGTCCCTACAGCCAATGCAGCCACATGTGCTTTATTTCCAACTCGAGGTCCACCTCCCCTTTGGCGAGCACTCTACTCTGCCTTAGTCCCTGCACTCGTACAAATGTGAACCACATCCTGTGTCAATGACCCAAGATGTTATGGAGAGAAGTTAATGTCAATCATAAATATACCTAAAGTCGTAGCCTCTGACTTCTTCTTGCTTGCGAGGAAAGCCTTGCAGTGTTTTTCCTAAGTGGCCAGGCTTGCCACAATAGAAGCAGACTACTTTGCCCTTCCCTATGCCACTCTCAGGCCCAAGAGTAACCTGTCCTTTGGGCATAGACTTGGTTTGGCCTTGGCCTTACCCTTGCCGTTACCCTTTCCTTTACTGGCAACACCAATAAAATAGGCTTGGACTTCTTCAAGTCCTTTTCTGTAGTCATCAGCATCTTCAAAAGCTCCATAGAGTTTTCACCATCGTGTTCATATTGAAGTTCATTATGAACGGTGGCATAAGAGTTTGCAAGGATTGCAGAATTAAATCCATTTGTAATTCTGCATCCAACTCAAATCCCAAAGTCTCAAGCCTCTCTATGTGCTCGATCATCTTGAGCACATGAGGACAACTTGGGCTCCCTCAGTCAGACGACTTCCAAATAGTACTTTTGACACCTTGTACCTCTCATGTCGAGCATTCCTTCGAAAGCTCTTGAGGTGTAGAATGATGGCACAGTGTCCATATTCTCATGCTGCTTTTGCAGCATAGGTGTCATTGATGCTAACATCAAGCATTAAAGCCATCAGCATCATCAATGAACTTTTGATAAGTATCTTTTACTTCCTGAGTGGTATCAGACCAGTCAGGATCAGGATCAGATCAGGATCAGGATCAGGATCAACCATGTATGGCTTTTCAAGGATATACAATTTCATTTTCGACTTAAGTATAATCCGAAGATTATGATACTAGTATAAGAAATTGGATCCATCCAACCTGTTTCTTTCTCGATTATCGGTTGTAGGTCATTATGCCATTTAATTTCCTAACTTGTTTGGCATTCCTTATCAGGTTATACCACCCCACCTAATCCTATTAACATTAAGAACCCAAAAATTGAAGTTTAATAGTTCAAGGTCTCTTAAGCTTTGTGGAATTCTATTTAGATTTCATAAATCACGTTTATCAATCTCTAGTTTTCGCTCAATCTATGCTATCTATCCTAAGAGACACATATCACAAATCACTTCTCAGTCTCATTGTGAACAACATATATTTGAATGGTGATCAAGCATCCAAAAGTCATTAAGCTAGCAAAGAGATAAATACTTAATCATGAAATTAAAACTTAAAGTAAATCAATTCATATAAATTTAAATCATTGTATTAAGGTTATATCAAACTCTAGCTAAACAACTCAATTCATACTCAAAAACAAAACAAAATAACAAAAACAAATTGAATCAATGTTCATCATTGAAAAACAAGCAAAAGATGGAGAAAACTTTTCTAGTTTGAAGCCCAAATCTTCAATAATCTTCTTTTTCCAAGAGTTGCCTCCCAAATGACAAACCAAGACCTTTTTCCACTTTTTTGGTGCCAATTTATACCTCTCTCACTTAAGGATGAAGCCCTAGCAAGCCAAAATGCGTCGTTTTATTTTTTTTCGCATTTGACGCAGTTTTGCTGCGGCGAATATTTTTCGTTGCCACTGCAAGGATCTTTCGGGCCAAATTTGAGCCTGATAAAATCTGAATTTGGCAAAGTGTAAATATATGAATTATAGCCCTTTAAATTATCTTTCTACTTGTTTAAGAATCAGCCCAATCCGAGTCTAAAGCTCAAGTTATGGCCAAACTACTGAAGTACATCCAAAGACGTTTTTCTTTAGTTCCCAACATACTGTTCACAACTTCAAGCCAAGTTTTCACCCTCTTCTAGTCAGAATTAGGAAAAAACCCAAAACATGAAAGTTGTAGCTCTGCTTCTTAGCTTTCCATAGCTTCTACATTCAGGTCATTCTGAGTTTCCAAGCTCAAGTTATGCAATTAATGCTCAAAACCGTCATTTATGCTTAAAATCATCGTTTAGGCTTGCAGAGCAAAATTAATGGAATTAACAAACAATTATGGCCAAATTGTATGAGAAGTATCCTAAATCCTATTAAAATTCAATGCAAAATCATAGGGAAAAAGAGGATTATCACATTTCTTTTTCTACTCCAATTCTGTAAACTAAAACTTGCTAAAAGCTGTGTTTTGGGTATGGTGAATGTTACAGGGAACTTGGAATTGGGATAGTACCATATAGTCCTCTCGGCCGGGGATTTTTTGGTGGCAAGAAAGTTGTTGAAAGTGTGCCTGCAAACAGTTTTGTGGTATGGCATTGCCTCTGATAAATCTTTACGGAGTTCATGCATTAATTGTGATAATTTTTTCTTATTTCTAATGCAAATAATCTTGTTTAACTGATGGCCAAACTTTCCTTGAAGGAATCACATCCTAGATTTCAAGGAGAGAACTTCAACAAAAACAAGATCTTCTACACACGTATGGAAGAGCTGGCTGAAAAGCATGGGTGCACCCCGGCACTGTTAAGAAATATGGGTTATTTTGTTTTATTGTTTATTAAGGGTAGATTTGTCTTTTCATTATTTCCTTTGTTTAGCCTATATATATATCTTTGTATTTAGGTTAAATCATACTTTTTTGTATTCAATTGAATTGTGCAATATTAATGAAACCCTAGCCTCCTCTTTTTATTATTTTCTTTGGATTGTTTAACAGCACAACTTGCACTTTCATGGGTTCTTCACCAAGGAGATGATGTAGCACCAATTCCTGGCAAATATATCTTACTTTTATCTTTTCTTCTTCTTTGAATTTATTGAGGAATGAAGATGTACATACACGCCAGTTTTTGTGCGCTATATTGTATAGTTTTGTGTAGCATTGGATATTGTACTGAATGTAACAACTCTCTTAACTTTTTTATGCAGGGACAACTAAGATTAGCAATCTAGACAATAACATTGGTTCATTAAGAGTGAAGCTTACAGATGAAGAATTAGAAGAGATTTCTGCAGCCATACCCATCAACGAGGTGGCGGGGAGTAGATTGATAAATGAAAGTTTCACTCGTGCCTCTTGGAAATTTGCCAACACACCAGCAGAAGCGAGTCCGGCAAAAGCGAGTCCTTGAGCTGCTAAAAGTATCTAAAACCAGGAAATTTTATATTACGGAGCTGTTTTGCTCAATTAAAATAAACAACGTGAGGACAAAGTGAGGTGGAGATCCATCTCTGTTTGTTAAAATAAAATCTATGATAAGGGAATGCATAAGGGATAGCTATTCTAATGTTGAAAATGTTTGTGCAATATCCACTTGATGTAAGGTTCTTATGTATTGGTTGCAAACTTTTGTTCCTAAATTACCTTGGAAATGCTTTTATAACTTTAGTTGGCTGCACAACCAATTAACAGACAAATCAAAAATATAAACCAATCTTCAAAAAGCATGTTCAAATCAAATCATTTACGTTAGTGTTAAATGAACTCTAGTCAACATTTAGGCACCCATTTTTAAAGCGCACCAGAAATGTTTCACCATGGTGATTAAACATTATCAAGTTAAGTGTCAATCAACAAATATAGGCATGAAATGTAAAGAACACTAAGTATTTATATGGTTCGACTAAAACCACTATTAGCCTACATCCATGGGACCTTGTCCAGATCGAAGCTAATCCACTAAAGCATCAAACATTACAAGAACAATTAATCCAGAGTTGAATTATATACAACAAAGTAAAACCCCCTGCTCTACGATACATTAAACTTCACCCTCTGATTTCCTTAATAACTTGTCACACTTGGATCACTTCACACTAGGAACTCTCCCGGACAAGCTTGAGCTCTCCCAAGCTTCAAACGCTTAAGAAACGCTCAAGCTTCAGCAATGGAACCACGTTCCAGCCGCCATTCAATCAAAGATAATAAACAAAATGGTTTGAGCACAACACCATAAATTGAACTTGAATAAAGATAAACTCTCTAAAGAATTTCAGAGCACACAAACAAATGAAATATCTAGGTTAGTTCAAAGAGATGCAAGAATGAAGATAAGAGATATTTTTTGCTCAACAATTCTTGTCAAGTCAGCAGACAATGGCTACATGTGTTGGTCCAAAAGGGGAAAAGATTCCACCAAACTTTTGGGACCACAACCTAAAGGGAAAAACAACCACTTGTGGGTTTTAGGACACTTGTAAGTGGTCCTCACAACAACATATGAGATAAGGAAAAATATCTCAATAAGATAATGAAAATATGCCACTTACGCAAAATAAGTTAGACATGCAGATGTTAGCGCAGAAAGAAAGTGTGCACACAGTCGCGATAAAATGAGAAATAAATTTCAATATGTATATGTCTGACATAAATGTGCAAGCACACACCATCTGTGCACACATTCGAAATGAAATTACAAAAAACATAAGTTTGACATAATTGCGCTCACACACAACATAAGTTTGAAAAAAATATTCAACAATTTATATACATTAACCTCAAACCATGATTAAGCTTGTATTAAACTCATTTTTACAATGAATTCAAATAAACTTGAATGGAGGAGGAAATTTATTTTTGTTGAATGATTTGAAGTTTGTATTGAAGAGAGAAGAGAAGTGTTGCCTCTTAGAAGAGACGAGAAGGTAAAACCATTGAATCCAAAACTTCTTCAATCCTGTGACATTCCAATAACAATTAATCCCAATAATAAATTTGTGCAATTTGTGGGTGTTGAGTTGCCATGCCACCTAAAAGCTTAAACTTGTAGGTGAAGGCTCAACATATATTAGACCAATAGGTTCTCTCACATCAAACTTGGATTTTTTTCATTTTTCTTTATCCAATTGGTATGTGAGGATTTGAACTTGAAACATTTGGCTTTGATACTATGTCAAGTTGTCATCCCATCTAAAAACTTAAGCTATGCTTGTAAGTGGGGGCTCAATGTATATTAAGACCAATAGTGGGTATATTGGGTAACTTATTAAATAACTGGATGCTATGTATTGGTTGTTAGGAAATGATCATACATGGCAGCTGAAACAAAAAATTTTAAACCTTATAGATCGTTCCTTAGAACCAAGATCAGGGCATAAAAATTACAGTTTATACAACATATTAAAATCAGCAAAAAGACATCTTAAGGTTAAGAAACCATACCCACGTTTGGAGGCTCCTCCAACTTGTCTCGGAATGGGTTTCGCTACCGACCCAAGTGTAGGATTGAACCAATGTAGTCCACACGAAGACAACTGATAATCATATTTTACACTATGATTTTGCATTGAATTTTGATAGGATTTACAATACTTTTCATACAATTTGGCCCATAATTGCTACCTAATTCTATTAATTTGTCTTTGTAGGCCTAAACGATGATTTTTAGCATAAATGACAGTTTTGAGCGTAAATTGTGTAACTTGAGCTTGGAAACTCGGAATGACTTGAATTTAGAAGCTTTGGAAATCTAAGAAGAAGAGCTACAACTTTCATGTTTTGGGTTTTTCCTAATTCTGACTGGACAAGGGTGAAAACTTGGCTTGAAGACGTGAAAAGTACACTGGGAACTGACGAAAAAATGTCTTTGGACATACTTCAGTGCTTCTGCCATAACTTAAGCTGTAGACCTCGGATTGTGCTGATTCTTGAACAACCAGAAATATAATTTAAAGGTCTACAATTCATATGTTTAACACTTTTCCAGATTCAGACTCTATCATGCTCAAATTTGGCCCGAAATTCTTCACCGCGGCGAGGAAAAAGCTTCGCCGCGGCGAAACCTGCATCAGATGTAAAAATAAAATGACGCGTTTAGGCTTGCTAGGGCTTCATCCTTAAGTGAGAGAGGTATAAATTAGAGCGAAATGGAAGAGAAAGGGAGCTTGGTTCGTCATTTGGGAGGCAGCCCATGGAACGAGAATATTATTGAAGATTTGGGCTTCAAATTAGAGAAGATTTCTCCATCTTTTGCTTGTTTTTCAATGATGAATCTTGATTCAGTTGGTTTTTGTTATTTTATTTCGTTTTTGGGTATGAACTGAGTTGTTTAGCTAGGGTTTGATGTAACCTTGATACAATGATTCAATTTTATATGAATTGATTTACTTTGAGTTTTAATTTCATGATTGAGTGTTTATCTCTTTGCTTAATGACTTTTGGATGTTTGATCACCATTCAAATGTGTGTTGTCCACAATGAGACTGAGAAGTGATTTGTGATTGTGCTTCTTGGGATAAATGCCGTATATTAAGAAAACGCTAGAAATAGGTTTAACGATCTATGAAATCTAGATAGAATTCCATAAAGCTTAAAAGACTTTGAACTATTAATCTTCATTTTGTTGGGTGCGGAAGTTTGATAGGGATAAGTAGGGAAATGTATAGAAGGTATGTTTTACAACTTAGAGAATTCGATTTTCGATCAAGGAATTAGAACTTGGGTAATAGATTCTATGAATTGGGTTAACGTATCTAGGTGAAATCAACACCCTAGCATTTTTTAGCATTGTTTAATTAGTTAATTGTTAGGTTTTGCTTTAATTTCATTATCATTCATTTATATTTTTTTAATTTGTATTTAGTTGTTAATTTTCCATCAATCCAATTTATTGTTGCTTTAATTAAGACTTAAACTAGGAAAATAGGTACTTAGTAACACTATCCTCGTGGGAACGATACTCTACTTATCACTTTATTACTTTGTGCGACTACATATATAAATATAATTTCACTTATATAATTTAATTAACAAATTAAATAAAGGCTACGACCTCATCAAATTTAATTACACTGTGAAATTACCAAAATACCCTTTCACCTAAAAAGACGAAAACGCCTTTCTTACAAACTGGTTCTTAAATTATCTTCTATGTGTGTGACCCGTCGGCTCCTTATCATACCGGTAGTGTATAGTATCGTGATCAACACCAATTAATCGTCTCACTTCAGACAGACCAAGATTGACCCCTAGCAAGGCATCATGGCCACCTGATAGATTCGGATTCAGTGAAGCAGCTACCTGTCAACGATATGTTACCGTACAATCCAATCCTTTCATCAATCGTTATCTCGATGAGACTAAGGCATAGAAATAGTGTCAACCTCGGTTACTCTTGATATTATGTATTTAGTTACTGGACCAATGACCTGAATTATAAACTGGATAGAGCACCAACTCAATCCCACTATGGCCACAGTTTTAGTGTCATTGTCATTTACCGAATTGCGCCGTGAGATAGCTTCTCCCATACCCAGGAGTGATAAATCCTCTGTCGATCCATTATAGTCTTGATACACTCCTTGATGCAGCTAATCACTATCGTATTGACAGCTCTAAATAGAACTGCGTTAGGCTAGTGTTAAACTACACCAATCGGTGCACAAGGCGCTCTAGTGATCTCAAGTCTAAGGATCACATGCACTACCATTCGTTAGAGGATTTGTTCCATAGACACTGGAGTTACCATCCATATGGAATCCTTTGGTGGGTCAGTCCGGTGAACTTGCCTATAGCAAGCACCTATGTGTTGCACCAGGTTGTCACCAAACAACCTTGACAAGTGAGATCAGTCACTGCCTTTCGACAGAGTCGTTCAACACTATGATAGCCTTACCGTATTGTCCATGCCCTTACTTTAGAACAATACTGGGGCTACAGACGTTTCTAGGGTTCTCACTATCGAGATTTGAAACACTTGATACCCTCATCACGGTTCAACCATTCTATGGACATATATCAATACATACAACGATGATTTACGCGATATAGAATAAAATGCCTTTTATTGATCAATGAACATTATTACAAAGAGTCAATTCTACAATAATTGATTGGTTCTAGGGCAACTACTCTAACAATCTCCCGCTTGCACTATAGCCAATCATTCATGTATTTAATACCAAATGATCTCAAGTGCCTTTCATGCTTCTACTGCGATAGAGCCTTTGTCAGTAGATCTACGGGATTGTCGTCAGTATGCATTTTACTGATATGCACATCTTTCCTCTCAACTATTTCTCTGATGAGATGGAATCATCTGAGTATGTGTTTGGATTTATGATGAGATCGTGGTTCCCTATCTTGAGCGATTGCTTTGTTGTTGTCACAATAGATGTCTATTGGATCAAAAATCGTGGAAACCACACCCAATTCGGTGACGAACTTCCTAATCCAAACTGCCTCCTTGGCCGCATCTGATAATACAATATACTCAGCCTCCATTGTAGAGTTTGCTACGGTACTTTGCTTGGAGCTCTTCCAACTTACAGCACCCCCGTTGAGACAAAATACAAACCCTGATTGCGATCGATAATCATCTTTATCTGTTTGGAAACTAGCATCGCTGTATCCTCTTACAGTGAGCTCATCTTCCCCTCCATAAACCAAGAATATATCCTTAGTCCTCTTCAGGTA